GTTGTTGGCTTTGTACCTGTTATATAAAGACTTTATTGTGTTAAGATATAACCGTATAACCTTTCTATATATTTTCTTTTTCTTTTTTGGTTTTTCAGGACAGGGTTTCTCTGTATAGCTCTGGCCATCCTGGAACTCATTCTGTAGACCAGGCTGGTCTTGAACTCAGATTCATCTGTGTCTGCCTCCTGGGTGCTGGGATTAAAGGTGTACACTACCACCACCCAAAATCTATCTATATTTCTTTCAGAGTTTATTTGAAATGTGTGTGTATGCGTATATGAAGGTGTGAGGGTTCATTCACTCCTCTATGTGTGTGTCAGTGAATGGGATAGAGGGTGTCAGCATCTGTTTTCTGCTATTCTTGCCACCTTACTTTTTAAGAGAGTGTGCACTGAACCCGGAGCTCTTTCAGCTAGGCGGACTGGCCAGCAAGCCCGCAGGATCTTCCTGTTGCCCTCCTGCACCAGTACACACGATATGCAGGTGTGTCCCACAGTGCCTGGCCCTACATGGGCGCTGGGGTCCCAACTCAGGTCCTTATGCTTGTGCAGCAAGCACTTGACATTCCGAACTAATTCCGTAGCCCTTGTTCACAACTTTTCTCATGAATTTTAGCAGATCTTTTTCCTGAGTCTTTTGGGGTGATCATGTTCTTTATCTTCCATCCTATTACAATTACTGGTTACCATATGCTGCACTATCTCTATTTCTGGAATGAAACCAAGACAATTTTTGTGCTAGTCATGGTCCATTTGAAAAATGAAAAGGCAAAGGAGGAACGTCTTCCATTTCCATGTTTCTTTTCTTTTTTTAACAAATATTTTCCACCCATGCAAATGCACTCCCTCCATCCCACTACCAAACCTTCTTTAATATGCCCTGATATCAGCCAGTATTTGGGCCCGGTTCACCTAAGTGAATCCATAGATTTAACAGTAACAAATATGACCAGGCTGCTGATTGGAGACACCAACCACCAAGCAGTTGGCAAGCTGGGTGATGCAGTCTTGCCATTCTGTTTCTCCTGCTTTATTGTGCTGGGCTTTCTCCTCTTGTCTTGTTTCCTCTTCCATACCAGGTGTCCTTTCAGGTGTCCTTCCAGGCATGAGCTCTCAGCCTTAGCTCACTGATTTAGTTCTGATTCAATGCTTTGTCTCTAGCCCAGTCATGACCCACAGTCTTAGGCTTGTAAATGAGGATTGAAAGTGTTTAGATAAGTGAATAAATCGACAGTAATACACAGGCTTAAAAAACATTTCTAATATGCACCCAAAGCACAAGTATTTTCCAAACATGCAAGCTTATGAAAATGGAGGACAAAGAAAACGAAAACTTAAGATGTAACATTCAAGGAATTTAGTAATATGTTCTATAAGCAGTGTGGCTTTTCTGTGTGAAGAAGAGAAAAAGGAGCTGAAGGAGGTCTCTGCCAAGATTTAGGCAGAACACTACTGGCGTCTATGGATCATCTTAGAATCAACTCTTGTTCTATGGCATGAGGCATCTCCAGAGGGGAGGGATGGGATGAGGGTTCAAAGTAGGATTTGTCGAGGTGCTGGCTGGCTCTACGTGACATAAGCTTTTTGTGCTTTTAATTTTTTTCTTTTCTAGATGGTATTATAGCACAGCCAACTTTACACTGCTTTACACACTCATCTCCAGTGACTTAGGCTGGGAATATAATAGGGCTGAAAGATAGGGAAAATTAGGGCATCTTTATGAAGTAAAATAGGGTTGATTTTAAATTTTTTATTATATTGTATGTGTACAGTATATTTTGCCTGTATGTACATATGCGCAACATGCGTGCCCCTGGTGCCCATGGAAGCCAGAAATGAAGGTGCTCTGGAAAAACACCCACTTAACCATCTCTTCAGAATCAAGGACTGTTTTTTTTAAGTGCTGAGAATTATGTCTGACAGATTATTAACATACACAATACAGTGGCGCTATTTCTTTATTAGTATTGTCTTTATTTACTATTTATATCTTCTAGCATTATCTGAAACTATTCTGTTGGAAAAATATTCTTTGAACTTAGTTTCCTGTCAGACAAGATAAAAACAACACTGATTTCTAAGTTTATCAGTTTATTAAGGGAGAACTTAATGTAATTAACACTTCTTGTCAGCAGAGAGTACATTTGATGATCTGCCATGTACAGTCTTTTAGTGTAGGGAAGCCTTCCTCGAGGCTCTGTCAAAGCTGGATTTCGCAAGATTGAAAAGAGCTAGTGAGTGATTGTTTTGAAGCCTTCTGTGCTTGGTACCTTGAGCTTTATGCCTTCAACCATCTTACTTCTACTCTACCTTCTTATCTCTATTCTCTGTCTTGCTGGAGACTGGCTAGCTACATTTTGTTGACATCATTTACCAGTGGGATGCTACTTCCCTTGGTTACTTTTTTATTTAGACACGCCTTTGTTTTCTTTTTGTCCTCAATCATTGGGGATTCAAAGTGTTTTGCTTTCTATAATAGGGGTAAGAATATCTACCACATACATGCCCCATTGGGCTTCTGTGCAGCTATTCATCTTGTTTTATCTGCATTTCATTGTTGACATTTAGCATTAGCCCCACTTTTCTATAATTTGTAAGGAATTAACTAGTAGTTGATTGCTGAAAGCTATTGAGGAGCATGAATGCAATTTAAAAAATCCAGTGAGATCTCTCCATTGAATATTCTCATTGGGAATAATATTGCTCCCATGTGTTAGAAGATTGGTTTGTGGGACTGTAAAAATAATCTGGGCTATTATGACTGATAGATCCCTAAAGCTCAACTTTAACACAATCTTTTTTTTTTTTTGGCTTGTTTTACATTTTCTTCTATATCTTATGAAAATCATTGACACTGAATTCATAGAACATAAGTAAAATGTATACAAGATTAATGCTACAAATGACAATAAATGACAGAGTTTCTATTCTGGACTTTATCTCTGTCCTCACATACCTTGGCCTACCACTGGATATCATATATATGGCTTATGCTTAACATGAATATTGAGTGTTTTGTGATTACATGAATTGAACACATATGGTTTGCACTTTATTGATTTTTCTAAGATAATTAAACACATGAATGATTGTGTCAAGTTCTCAAGAGAAAAAAGGAAGTTAACCGTGTCTATAGTGAAGTCTAACAGCAAGCGAAGTTATAAACTTCTGACAGTGTTGGGGAGATAGCTCCATGGGGTAAGGTGCTTGTTGAGCAAATATGAAGACCTGAGTTCAGATCTTCAGTATCCACATAAGTCACTTGTCAACAGCCTGGAGCACAGTGACGGGTAGATGATGGTCTGAGTGAGAAGTCGCCCATAGGTTTTTCCATTTGGATCCTTGGTCTCCAGTTGGTGGTCAGTACAAGTTAGGAAGTGTGGCCTTGTTGAAGAAATATCACCAGAGCCAAGATTTGAGAGCTTAAAGACTCAACATCATTTGGAGTCTGCTTTTCCCTGCTTTGCGCTTGTTCAGGATATAAGCTCTCAGGTTCCTGCTTCTGCTGCCATGTCTTTGCTCCACCATCACGGACACTAACCCTCTGCAACTATAAGCTCAAATAAACTTTTTCACCTATGAATTGTCTTGATTATGGTGTTTTATTACACCCATATAAATGTAACCAGTCCTTCTGGTACCAACTTCTGTATTAGTTACTTTTCTATTACTGTGATTAAACCACCATAACCAAGGCAACTTATGGAAGAAAGGATTTATTTGGCTTGTGGCTCTAGAGAGGTAAGAGTCTGTTTGCTACAGTGGGAAGCATGACAGCAAGGAAGTTTGGTGGCTGGACCAGCAAGCTGAGAGCTCACATTTTGAAATACAAGCACGGAGCAGAGAAAGCAAAGTGGAAATGGCATGAATCTTTAAACTCTCAAAGCTTGCCTCCAGTGGCATATCACCTCCAACAAGACCACACCTCCTAAGCCTCCCCAAGCAGCAGCAGCAGCTGGGAAAAAGTATTCAAATTATAGAGCCTTAGAAGGGTAATCTCATTCAAACCAGGGTCATGGAGGCTTGCTGGCCAACTGCTCTCATCCAGATGGAAGAGGTCTGGTTCAGTGAGTCAGTGAGACTCGGGCTTAAGAAATGAGGTGAAGTTGGCACAGGTTAAACGACACCCATGGTTAAACTCTGGCCTCTACATATGCACATATGGGTGAGAGCACCCTTCACCATGCCCATTACACACACACACACACACACACACACACACACACACACACATATATACTTACATAGTGGGGTGGGGGAGAGGGAGGTGGAGAGAGAAGTTGAAACAAACTTAATTTATATACACACACAAAAAGTTTTAGAAAATAGTGTATTTCAGTAGTTTCTGCAATTTTGAAAGATGCTTAAGGATAACACTTTACAGATGTATAGGCTTATAAATTTATAAATTTGTAAATGTAATAGGATTTTTACAGTTTATATAATACATAAATTACATTAGAAGTCACTAAATCATGAATAAATAAGTAATTTATACAATAATAAATCACAATAAGGCAATAAAATGTACTAAGCATAAAGGCAAAAGTGATTTTAGGAAGTCAGCATAAATATCAAGAGTTTTTAAAGATAACTTTTTACTTAAAATTATTTTGTAATTGCTGAGTTTAATTTAAAACATTAAAAAATTTTCACCTTTTCTCTTATTTCTAAAACAAAGAGATAAAGTGCATAAATATATTATCTTGTATTTGTTATTGAAAATTAATTATGAGTGCAATTAGGAAAAAATATCTAACAAGGCTCTGGAGGCAGGAGGAGGGAAATAAAAGAATTGAGAAATACTGCTCTAAACCAAGTAGAAAATACATGGAAGAAAACAAAAACAGAAGTAGAAAGTAACATGGGTGACAATAAAAAATCTAAACCTCAAGCAAACATTCCTTACTTAAGTCATAGCAACAAAACGAGTTGTAGGAAACCTAGAGGTTCAGGAGTCCATAGCTCAGAGAGCCAGCAGCATCTGCAACATTCACTATGTCTAAGCCCTGTGCTTTCCTGATGGTCCTGGTGGTGCTGAGCTGCTGGTCAACCTGCTCTCTAGGATGTGACCTGCCTCACACACATAACCTCAGGAACAACAGAGCCTTGACACTCCTGGCACAAATGGGGAGACTCTCCCCTGTCTCCTGCCTCAAGGACAGAAAGGACTTTGGATTCCCTCTGGAGAAGGAGGATGTCCAGCAGATCCAGAAGACTCAAGCCATCCCTGTCCTGAATGAGCTGACCCAGCAGGTCCTGAGCCTCTTCTGCTCAAAGGACTCCTCTTCTGCTTGGGAGACAGCCCTCCTAGACAAATTCTGCAGCGGCCTCCACCAGCAGCTCCAGGACCTGCAAGCCTGTCTGAGGCAGCAGGTCGGGGTGCAGGAATCTCCCCTGATCCAGGAAGACCCCGTGGTGGCTGTGAGGAAGTACTTCCACAGGATCACTGTCTACCTGAGAGAGAAGAAACATAGCCCCTGTGCCTGGGAGGTGGTCAGAGGACAAGTGTGGAGAGCCCTGTCTTCCTTGGTCTGCTGGCTGGCCAAACTGAGTCTTATTCTAGCACAGAAATGATTCTCAATGCCTGTCATTTCAAAGACTCTTTTCTATTGTAATTTTGAGATGAATCAATTCAATCAATTGCTAGATATCTTTAAGAATATTAAGCTACATTGTGTTCAACTCTAGGGGAACTAATTATTTTTTTATGAACACAAAGATAGATCCATCTCTTAAAAATATTTATAATATTTAAGTGCATTTATATGTGTGTGTACTTTCATATTTTGTTCACTATAAAATAGGTTATTTATATTTGTTTGGTTATTTTATTTTGCTTTATTTACTAATTCTAAATTTTTTGTTTGGTTTATTCACTGAAAGACACTCCGAGATATATTTTGTGAATTTATACAGAGTAGAACATATCATTGACTTGTTCTTCACCCTCATACTCAAATTAAAATTAAAACTGACCATACCTCAGTAGTATGACTACCTAGCATGATATGGAAAGCCATGAGATTTATCAACTGCCTACTGCTCATTTTCAGTACTACCTCCTAGGAACTAGCCCCAAAGGAAGAGTCCTTAATGTCAGAATAATGACTTCTGTAAAGTATGGAAAGTTGGCTATCATCATTTTAAAGAAGCACAACTAGGCTAGTAGGCATCATTGCCACAAATTTCCTACTGTGGCTTCAGAGTGTCAATTTCCTGGAATAGGGACATATGATAAGGAATTCCCCTTTGCTACCCCTTTAGTTTTCCCACCTATAAGAATATTTCAGGATCATGTGGGTCCCAAACAATTTCACAGAATCAGTGAATCTTCAGCATTACACATAGAAGAGAGTTCTCAGCTAGCTGAAATTGCAAAATGAACCATGGGATCCAGAGAACAAGAGAAATATGTGTAATTCTAGGGCAAAAGGGCCTGGAAATTATAAAAGGAACTGAAAATACAAAACCTGCAACCCAGCTGTATAGAGACGAAAATAACTTGAAATTCTCTCTCTCTCTCTCTCTCTCTCTCTCTCTCTCTCTCTCTCTCTGTGTGTGTGTGTGTGTGTGTGTGTGTGTGTGTGTGTGTGATGAACCTTTTCAATCTCTCCAAGCCTCATTCTCCTCTGGACTAAAATGAAGTTCAAAGTATATACATAGTTGTTCTGAACAGCAAACAAAAACATGCACTGGAAAGCACTTAGTTACTGTTCGCCATGGCATAGTGTTTTAAATATGGTACGTATCTGTTTAGAGGTGGACTGCTCAACTCTGGCTTTCCTTGAGGTTCTGACTGATGGAGAAGAAAGACAGCTGAGCAGAGCCAGTAATACGCTGGGGCCAGGGCCTTCGGAGAGTTATGGTTTAGGATGCTGAACACCTAACTTTTCCTACTGTATGGGGCTATGGTTATCAGCCCCAAGGCTGCAGTGTGCTTGTTCTATAATGTTCGAGATATTCTGTGTTCTCCTTGTGCAACGTTGTTTTACAGCCTCTTGCTCACTTAACCCCACTGTATGGTTGTTTCTGCTGTTTCTGTACCATTTCTCCCCTAAAAATAGTATGTAAGGTGCTATACTTTTTAATAAGTTTCTTGGCATACTTTTGCCAGACTTCCTGATCAAAAGCCCTTGTCTTCTCTATCTCCTATCTTCTTTATCTTCTAATCTCCTGGTTTTCTCTCTCAGGATCCAATCACTAAAGAACCACCTGCTAGTCCAGATCAGGTATCCCCAGTGTTTCTTTACTGTATGTGAAAATATTATTTCTTTCTCTAAAATCCATAGGCTCTGTGTCCACTACTCAGTAGCTCACCTCAAAGGGAGAAGCTTATTGGGTTATGAAGTCTGGAGAAGCAGGGAAGCACCAGGGGATCAGGGGATCTGTTCATTTCAAAGAAGTCTCTTTTTTATATTTAGTTAGGAGATGCAAGCTCAATGGGGAAACATTGAGAGGAAAGTGCAGAAGATGTGTGGGGTTCAGTTAGTGATTGGACAGCTGTCACCCTTGCCATGTGACCTTTGCCATCTTCCCCTTCATCTCTCTGCCTGTTCATATATTGTTGCTTTCTCTTCCATCTGGTTTCAGACCAATGGTTTCCCTAAAAAGCAGAAGCCACAAATAGAAAGCAGAACTTAAATAAGCTTGTTTGTGTTTTATGACGTGTCTGCTAGAGGGCCCTTCTAACTTCTGTTCAAGGTATAACTAAAGAAAGTATGCAGGATACGATGATTTTCCTAAGGACAACTCAGGGAAGCAGTGTGCCTGGAGAATAAGTGTACCCAGGGCAGTGACCCAGGCTGGGGCCATATTCTGATCATGCTGAAATCTCACACTGAATGGGGAAATTTTCTTCATGCTATTGAGACCATTTTTTTTGGGGGGGTAATCCTAACACTTACATATTGTACCTTAAAAAAGACATATGAAAATACATATCGCAAAACTGAAATCTTTTACCTATATTAGTAGACACCTTCAAAACAATTTTTTTAAAAAAAAAGAAAAACCATTAAAGAAGAGTTCTGAAACTGAAGAAGTCACTCCTTACAAGGGAAGAGTCTAACTTCATGTTCAGCTAGGACGTTGAAAGTAGGAGTTAGAAAGACAGTGTCCTGTACTAAATTGAAATATGCAGTGTTCCCTTGCTGATTCAGACACCTTGTACACTTCCCACTTTATTTTTTCCTCTTAGAACAAAACCTTTCATTGAAATCACAGTAAGCATCTTTCTCACCCTTGAGACGTGCCTGATTGATCTGCTCCCTCATACTCATTAACTCAAATTTCGTCCAAGAACCTTTTTCTGTTTTCGTGTGTCTGCCCTTAGTTACCCCACCTCCAAAGAGAACAAAACCACAAAAGCAAAAGATGAGTGGACGTTCTCATTTTGTAGAAATTCCTAAGGAAGGAATTATTTTTTCTATTTCTTTGGATGAATAGTTTAGAAAAGATTTATGCATATTTTATGTGTATGGGTGGTGTTTTGTAGGTGTGTACGTCTGTGCATCACCTGAGTGCCGGAGGATGACAAAAGATGGCATCAGATCCCCTGGGACTGAGGTTACAGACAGTTGTGAACCTCCTTGTGGTGCTGGGAATCAAACCTTGGTCCTCTGGAAGAGCAGCCAGTGCTCATAACTGCCGAGACATCTCTCCGGCTCTAGCTTTTTAAAATTAGAGAATGTTACCTGTGAAGATGATGTAACTATAGCTGTAGATAAAAAGAAGCTGGACCATTTTATGCTTTTCCTGAGAAAGAAGCCAGTCAAGTCTGGAGACCTGCTTGTTTTCTGTCTCTGCAGAAATCTACTTGTTTCAAGCTAATGAGCAATCTTTTCCTGCAATGAGTTTATTGCTACAGCAGAATGAACCCATTTGCTTGGCTTTTGTATCTTGTAGACACACTTCCTAATTCAGGAAAACATGTTCTCTTTTTGGCAATGGATAGTGTTGTGGGAATAAAACATTCAGAATATGTCCTTTGCCGCCAGCACACTTCGAGAACAACAGCTCTTGACATATTAATCCCTTTGGGCTCTGCAGGTCTCAGGTCCGGAGGAAGGACCTTGCCATCTGGATGTGGCATTGCCTCCTGTCTGATGTGCTTCACAAGGTGCTAAGGAGAGGTTGTTTGTTTTACAAATTTCTTCTTTGTAGAAGTTCCCTTCTCTTGACTTCACAATACAGGGAGCATCCTGCCACTTTGAAGAAAGAATGAGCTTGCATCAGTGCCAATGTCACTGGGTCCTTAGAGAAAATACAGACGTGGCTAAAGCAGCATTGGAGATGATTTGGATGGCCTGATGACATCTGCAGACCACGTAGAAGCAACACGCACCAAGGTGATCTGAGGCACATCGTAACTACGGCGTTCATGTGACTGCTGAGGACGATGGGGGCTTTCACTGCTGTCGAGCCCAGCCTGGTCTCTGCCTGTAGTCAGAGAAAAACTTGCGCATTTCTCCAGCCCTGTTACTAGATCACTGCTATGTTTTACATAGGGGAGAACTTTGTCTCTGGCATTCTCTCCTCTCCACCACTTGTAAATGGGCTCAGAGTGACATAGATGTGTTTTTAACCGAATTTCAATTTAGTTGATACCTTAAACTATGAAAATTGTCCATCTTTTGTATCACTGTGCATTCATACATGTACATACATTCTGAGGCTTTATACAGCTTAAACATGAATCTCCTCAAACACTATTTTCTTGTTGCAGTAAAATCACTGAAAATATCCCCCACCCTTTAATTTTTTTTGAAATTGGCCATAACATCATGGCTATCTCTTTGTAAAAAATATGCAGCAACACGCATGACCTTCTCCTTCCTGAGCAAATGTCTCCATCAGCCTCTTAATTCCAAATTCCCTTAGACTTTGCTAACCATTTTTGGGGAGGAGGTTGGTGGGGTGTAATCTTGGCTGACTTTGTGATTGCATAACATAACTGACTACTTCTATTTGTGTCCTTGCTTGTATCATTAAGTTATTCTTTCAATATAGTTACACCCAAAAGTTTTGTCTTTGTCGCCCATACTGCCACATTGCTGTATTTTCTTTCATAAGGCAGCATTATTGACTTGTTATGTATTCCCAAAACTATAGAACCTAGAAGGTGGGCTAGATGTGGGTGAGATGAGCTGGAAGAGGATTGACCTGCCTCAGTGGAGTCAGACTTTAATCCTTTTCCTGTAGTTCTGCTGTGACGTTTCTAGTCCACATAACAAGAAGCGCAGGATGGTGAGATGCTATGACTTGGTGAACACAGAGTCCTTGGGGAAAGATCAGTGTGCAGGGTCAGATAGAATTAACTACCATTTAGAGCCTCAGAACCAAGAATACGACTGTGGCCATGACTTGAGTTTTGCAGCTCCTTGATTCCTGAGTTGCAGGGGTGAAGACTCACTAATGTCCAATAATATACAGGACACATTTATAAAAAGAGCCTTAGCCGTGAATGCCAACATCAGAAAACAAAGAGGGCACAGGAAGTCCATTTGATCAGGAAACAAACATGTCACACCAGGGGACATGGAAGGAGAGCAGAGAGGCTTAAAACATTTCCAGAACATTCGAAGGGCTGGAGCAATGCCATTGGGCTCTAGGGA